CGACCTGAGAGAGCGATTCGCAATGCTGCGATCGCTATCGCGTCCCGTGTGTCGGGTTTTCACCCTATGGCAAGCAGTTAGGATTTGCACGTAAAAATACGCCCGATTTATGGCCCCAATGGCTTGCCATATCACCCTGGCTGCACAGCCGCTAATCGATGTAGTTTGTCGCTACTCGTGTGTCGAGCCCTTAAGTCATCTGTCCGATGACCCAGGATTAAAGGCACACAGGCAATGCAGGTTTCCCCTAAACAGCACAGATTGCAGGCAATAGGTGGTGTCACCTTAAAATAGAGACATGTCACAATGATCTATTACATCATTAACAGCTGACAACTACCAACTAATGTGATGTTAAGGTTCATTATAAAATGTTTGCGTGAACTGCTATGAACATTTTGATATGAGTTGTTATAAAATTGTACTAATGCACATTAGCCTCACTGCTCAGACCAGCTGATAACTCATCAATAATCAGAAGGAAATTGTTTTTCACAACTGAGGTCCTTCACAGATCTACCTACAATCATGATCTCGCTCCAAAAATCTGAGCTTTTTCTTTAATAAAAATAGGTTTACCCTAAGTTAAAAAGCTGTCGTAGTTTAAAAAAATACAATTAGTGTAAAGTTGCCTGTGTTCATTATTATCAACAGTTCTTACATATATATATTTTATATTTTAAGTAGCAGATGAACCTATCTCTTAGTAATAATGAAATAAATTTATTGTATCTACTGGTTTTTTGCCCGTACTGCTATATAAATATATATAGCACAAAAGGTAAATAAAATTGTGTTTGGTAGATTGGTTCTTTGTTGTAACAATTCTTCCTTCCAGGCGCTAAACCTTATTATACCAGGCAGCACCTGGGGGGTACAAACTCAAAACAAGAGTCAACAGCAACAGCAGAATAAGCTGTTTGACAGAGAAGATTTGGCAAAATTTCATGTGCACAACCCACATACTCAGCTCTACTTCTCATCCCACAAATGCATGTTCCTTACAAATGTGGCACCATTTAAAATGGAAATTAACAGGCTTTCCAACGGCGTGAGATTTATTACCAAAATCCTCAAAATTACCAAAATTTTGTAAGGAACATGCATTTGTGGAATGAGCAGTAGAGCTGAGTGGATTGCTATGTATTTATT